CCCCCCCCCCCCCCCCCCCCCCCCCCCCCGCCCCAAACAAAGGAGCCGCCGGGTCCTAGCGCCGCGGAAGTTCTTGCCTGATGAATGCTGCTTTTTGCAAAACCAGGTTTCCCGAGATCTCTCGAGTTCCCAGAATTGATTCCTCTGTCGAGCCTGATGTAATTGGAGGGCATACTGTGATCATCTTGGTGCCGATCGGAATCTTTGTTCCCAGTGGATTCCACACACAGTCCTATGTAGTTCTGTCCTTTGCTTTGATCCCGCCTAACATGAGCTTACTGTAGTTAGTTATGCCCTATTCACAGGATTCCCCCTGACTTTTGATCTTTACTGTTTTTGAGTCCACAGTTATGTATGAAACAGGCTATATACATTCCCACTAGGATCCTTGAGCCCTGGTTTAACTGTCCCCATTTCATCTGAGTGTTCTTTCTTTCTGGTTTTTTTACAGCCACTTTTTCTACTTTCTCAGAAATAGTCCATGCTTTGATATGCCACTGTGGCACTTACAAAACACAAAACACATCGCTGTTCCTGAATATCTTGAATTCTCTGACTGTCCATGATCTCCTGGATCACTCTGGACGTGCTGGTTTTTCTTCCTCTAAATGTTCACATTTGCCCTTTAAACTCAGCCAGCTAACATTTTGCATTGATTTTATCCTTTAAATCTCCTTATAGCTGATTCTCAACCAGTTCTTTTAAAGTGTTTTCAGAAATTTGTGTTGGCTTTACCTCCAGCTGTGTTGTGTCTCTGGATTTCCTCCTCTTCAAGTTATTCCGTTTTTATTCAGATCTTTGCCTAGGCCACTGAAACTGGTCCCCGCCCATCCATCCGTTTCGCATTCCTTGCACCTTCTCTTCCATCTTCTGTAGCAAGCTCCTTTTGCACTGTTGGCTTGGCCACTAAATTATCACCCACTAGAATTTCCTTGCCTCTGTTTTCCTCTCCTATCAACCTGATCCCTGGCATCCTGATTCAGTGTCTCCATGCTCCTCCTCCTTCGTTTTGTTTTGTCCCTTGCTCTGTCAGGGGGGCAGGTTGAAAGTGCATTAACATGGTGGGTGGAAGTCTTGGCCTCTGGTAATTTTTGTCCTTGGAATCGTTTGGAAGCATTTTGCCTTTAGTGTCTTTGACTTTCTCAAGTGCAACCTGACAGCAGACTCCAGAAGGGGCGGTGAGAGTCTGCGGAGCTGTCCCTGGTGATGCTTTTTATATTGTTGAGCTTCTCCCTTCCCCCTCCATTATCTTGATAGAGTTAGTGCCTTCGTATAATTCCTGATCTACTTCCAGATCTAGCAGAGTTGGCGTAATCGCTCCTGTATTTTCAGAGATTTAGAAGCAAGTTATAAATTTTCCTTGCTAACAGCTTCCTATTGGACTGTTTTATTTACTTGCTTAGCATCCACCTTTTGCTCTAATCCTGTCAGGTTGCAGTGCTCAGTTATTTCATTTGTTAGCCCTGCAAAGGTTCTGAGAAAGTCATGTTTTTCTTGGAGCCCATACATTAAAAAAAAAAATTAACTATTTTGAATTTCCATCTTCTGTTTTGATGCTGAAGCAGTTGATACACTATAACAGGTACATCTTGTCTTTGTGAATGCACCAGGTGGTGTGAAATCTATTAGATGCAAGCAAAGCATTGTGTCTTGGTTAAAGTCAGGAGTCAGGTCCTGGTGACCAGCTCTGTGACACATTCACACTGCTAATTTGGAGTCACATCTTTGCATTTGACCTGCAGACACTTGTGGGCATTTCATGAATGCCTGTATAGTGCAAAGAGATTCCCATGTGGAAAGTGGTAGAAGAAATATTAGTTCTAAATCCATTTATTTGATTTCTTATGTACATGCTGGGATTGGGTACCAATCCACATTATTTGGGGCAGGTACATGCACAGTGTAATAAGAAAATGTTCCCACTTTAATGAAACCAGAGTATTCTGGTTTAGAACATGACACCAGTGTAATTTAGCATCAGCAAAATTTTGATTCCAGGAGCCAAAATCCAACAGCATTTATTTACCTTGAAATTTGGGAATTCCATTTTGAAGTCCGTCTTAAGGCATCTGTTTCTGAAGCTTGGTTTGATTGCTGGGAGAATAGAAATACTTATTCTAAAAAGGCATAAATCACATATGTATACTGTTGTTTCATCCCATGCGATACAAGGATACCTCTTACATATTCATCTTTACATATGTGCTTATTGAATGCTGGTGGATGATAGCTATTTGAAAGCTAAATGAAAGAGTTTTCAAATGAAGCCTTGCCACAGGAGTTGATCAAATCATGTTCTTACCCTATGGCCACATTGTTATAATTTGCAAAGCATCCATGGGTGGAGCTGTATGCTTGTCACTGTCTTCTACACACCTCTTGATTGATACAGATTGGCAGAGCAATTCTGCTGAAACAGCAGGCAGTGGAGTCTGAGATTCAGCAAGTCCACTACTATAAGCTTGCAGAAGCTCAAGAACATCTGCTATATTAGCAGAACTGATTCTTAGGGACCCTTATTTTCTTGGCAACTTTAAGAACTACTATGATTATTACTGTTATTAAATTAACTCCTTCTCTTCAGTGAAACTCAGGGTGACCTTGGGCAAATCACATACTCAGCCTTACCCTTTTCATAGGGTTGTTATGAAGATAAAAATAAGATAACCCTTGCACAGACTTCTGCTCAAGCTCCTTTGGAGGCAAGGTGGCATACAAATGTAATAATTTTTCATCAAGAAGTCAATTTCATATACTTTTGAAGGGGAAGGGATTAAATAAAATAAACCCCTGTTCAACTGCAAATGGGAATATTGTGTTATCTGCTGTGAGTTGCAGATGGATCTTTTCGGTACTAGGACATAACATAATTGCAGAGTGCTACATGGCAAGTTTGGGAAGGTGTGATGTGTAAATGAGATGGAAGTTCCTCTTGCTACTTATTTGTCTTGAAAGACGTTGTAAGTCTATTAAACCTACTGACATAACCATGCATACTCTCTAGTAAGTCTTACTATATAATATGAATTAATTCTAAGTGAGCATGCTTTGAGTTGAACTTTAAGGGGTAGAAAGTATCCATTTTAATATATCTGGATGTCATAGGTTCTCGTTAGCATTGATAATGTATCTTCAATGGTTTTATTATTTTGGCTGATGGAAACAATTTTTTAAAAAATTTGCCTAGTGTCTGATCTGGAAGAAAACAGTAGGAATGGGAGAAAGAAGATTGATGCAATGACCCTCATTAAAGAAGGTAAGACATCAAACTCTCTGGTGAAACTTGAGTTGTGGAGACCCTTGGTCCAAACTCACCGTTCTGCATTTGTAAATGCTCTGCAAAAGGAAAGGAATGAAGACGGTTATAAGTATTGTGTCTGTCTGGAATGGCAATTACTGTATTTTCACGCAGCAGGTGACCCTTAACTGAGACTGTACAGACTTCTCAGTTCTGCAAACAGAAGACTGTTGTTTTGCTTGCCTATGTAGCAGTGACATGTCCATAATGACGCTGAGTGATGGCCAGAGTACGGTTTGCTGCATTATGACAACCAACTACACTTTTTCCATAGTGTAAGATTTGTTGGGAAAGGAGAATTGAAATGCATAGAACAAATCCCTGGGCAAATGCCTTGATGGTGGCATTTTCTGCTTTGCTACATCATGGCTGGCAGCAGTGGTAAAAGTGACCTATTCCATGATTGTATTCTTGTGTTTCAGTGAGGGTTGATGTTTTGCCCATTCAAGATGGACTTTTCCTGATTATGGCATGAACTTTGCCGTGTCTTGGGATACAGGGGAGGAATGCTCCTATAATTTATTAGGAAATCAATATAGGCCAAGCTTAGCCTTGGGGATATATCTTCCTTGATATCTGAATGGTTTTGTAGATTTTGTCTTGAATCTTCCCATCTTGCCTCTGTAGCCCTTCCATTGACCAAACAGTTAATGTGATCTTTCCAGAGATTTGAGATAACTTAAACTGTTCAGTTTCTATAGCTATGCTTTCTTTAGTTTCAAACTCTCTCCTGTTTCTGTTCCATTGCTATGATTTTTAATAAGATGAAGTTTCATGAGCCCCAAGCAAAAGCCACCACATTTTGTCCAAAGATCATTGTCCATAGTTTCCCTTTTTATCGTATTATATGATCTCAGCCAGTACATTTCTTAAACCAGAGTTAGTGTGAAACAGACTTATAAAGGCTCCAGATGACTCATGCAAATGAGTCAGGGCTGCAGGGAAGGGCCCAATATGTTTATTTTGTACTCAAAGTGTTCTTTTCTGACCTCAAATATCAATCATACTCTGTCCATCAGCTCAATAATTTAACCAGAACATTCCAAAGAAATGTTATTGAGTGAAAACTATGCTAGAACCTATGCTAGAATGGATAAAACCAAATCCAACTCATCCAACTCCAGTCTCTGTTAGTATTAATAGTTAGGAAAATATGCCCTGAGTCACCAACTGCCTGTACTCCGCCAAGAGATCAGACAGCTTCCTCTTTCTATTTTGTGTGTGTGTGTGTGTGTGTGTGTGTGTGTACATATGTGTTTCTAAAGAAGTCCTGTTCTTTATTAGAGTAGGGAAGGCTACAGACACAGATTAAAGTCCTACTAGAAGGTAAGAATGTTGACATCAGAAATGACATCGGGAACTTAAATCATTTTTCCAGATGAGATTATTCATACCTTAAACTCTTCAGGCAGCCCCTTCTGGTTCTCTAGCAGACCTTTAGAAATGTGAATTACCCTCTGTCCTTCTCACTGGACACCCAGGCCAGAATTTTCAGTTGAGCCTCTGCTGTGCTTTTGTCTGACTTTTGCAATCACTTCGAACCAGTCAAGCCCTCAGATAGTCTGCAATTAGTTGGGCCTTGTCCCTCCCTCCTCTTTGGCAGTTTTCCTCTCTTTCCTGCCCTGCTGCCCTAGGTCTTTTCATTGCTTTCTAGCCTGTCTGTGACTCTTTGTTTTCCATTTCTGCTACCCCAGCTGTGCTAGGAGGTGGGGCTGCTTGCTGCCAACGTTACAGAGCATAGGACAGCATGTGAGAGCCCCCTTTGCCAGATGATAGCCATTTGTTCTGTCACCTTTTTGTTTTTTAACATGTGTGCCCACATTAGCAGGGATAGGCAGTCTCCAGACTAGATCTGGAGGCCACATCACTCAGTGGCAGTTTTCTAAATTGAGCAGCTGCTTGTGAAAATATCAGCCTAGATGCTAGTAATGCATAAAATCATTGTATACATGTTGGAGTACCTAATTTGGTAGTCAAGTATGAGATCTGTCTTTTTCAACCCAATGCCCTCCACATGTATTTGATTTCAGCTCCCATTATCATTGGCGGGATATCATTGGCGGGATATCATGAGAGTTGTAGTCACAACTGGTGGGTGATGAGTTGGGGAAGGTTCCTTTAGGTTGCTGATCAAGAAGTCCTTCAACTAAGAAGTAGGTGCTTCTTTTGCTAAGTAGAGTATAGGCTCCGCTGTTCAGCTGTAGCATCTCCCGTTGTCGTGGGATGACTAGCCAGTTAGAACAGAGAGCATTTGGCTACCTGGGCCTGACTTGATATAAACAACTACTTATTATAACTGAACAGTGAACCTTGCCAGCGCTGGCTTTTTCATCTGCACCCATACAAAGCAAATGGCTTGGTAATATTCCCAATTTATAGTTGAAAAACAGAATCCGAGACACGCTATGAAATAATTGTGACCGACATGCAACTTTTCCTTCTCAGCTCCGTGTCTCATTCTCTGTTCTTTTGAGTCAGGAGGGGGGACTCTGTGGTTCTCCAGAGGTTGCTGAATTACCACTTCTTGCCATCTCCATCGGTGAGTTCAGTGGTGGGGGGTGTTAGTAGCTGTAGCTCAGCTGCATATGGAGGGTTCCAGGCGTCTCATCCCTGACTTAACCTGTGCTTCCAGGATAGGCTGGGCGTCTCATTTTGCCCATGGGTTTGTTCAAGTGTTTCTTAGTCTACAAATATTGACAGGGTGACATGGGCCTCTTCCCTGGGTGCGCTCTCATCACTCGCATCTCTTGTCCTTTCAGACATGTCTATCTTTGGTCACTGCCCAGCTCATGATGAGTTCTACCTGGTGGTGTGTAACCACTGTGGCCAAGTGGTCAAACCTCAAGCCTTTCAGAAGCACTGCGGTAAGCTAGGCAACCGACATGCCAATTGAATGTCTGTAGCCTCTCAGGGAGAGCTTGGGAGTAGTGCTGCTGCCCAGTTGGTGGGGAGGGGGGGTACATGAGTGAAAGGCCCTCTTTTCGGTTTCCTTCCTGCAAATTAGGGCAGCTCTTCTTCCCTAGGATTGCCTCTTAGTGAGCAAGGAGACTGCTGGTAAGAGAGCAGCCAGGAAGACAAAGGGTACTTTTGGATCATGTTAGCGTCATGCCTGAGATGATATTTTGCTACTTACACCCCAAGGTTGGAAGCCAGCTAGAAAATGGCCAAAACTACATGTCTGCATAACTTCTGCAATATAGTATGTAAGATACATGAATAATTATGTACATCTTAACAGAGCCATCCTTAATGGTAAAAGACATTATTTGCTAGAGTAATGCTTTGTTTGAGTTGAACATCTGACTGACCCTTTTCTGTCCTAGTGCTTGCCGGATATGTGGTATTACAGCTCCCGCCCTTCCCAGCTGGCCTAGCTGCCTTCCTCCACATTCTAACTTTTACAGATACAATTGTGTTTGGCCATTTTTTAGCTGTTTTTCCTTCTGTGATCTCAAAATGCAGCTAGGGAAATTAAATGTAGGAAATTTCCTTTAGCAATCATCTGTGAATTATTTACCTTCATCTCAACTTTTTGCCTTTATCCACAGCTGGACTGTTGCCTGGAGGGAGATGAGGGGAAGTTATCATTTCACTAGGATTATCAAAATCTCTCTGCTTGCTATCAAAATCTGTTCTGAGTTGAAACAAGCCAAGTCAAGGGTCTAAATTTGAAGCCCTTTGACAACTTGGCAAGTTGCAATTTAGTGTGTTGGCAAATGAGATGCAAATGGGTGTATAGGGTGACAGAGTTATCCAGAATATGAGCAGAAGTCACATGATGCAGCACCCTTGCTGAAGCAAAATAGATTGGGTCTGCTCAGTGTTTCAATGGACAACCACATAGTATATCACTTTAAATTACATGATGGAAGAAATGCCATTTTTATTTCTGTTATGTATTTATCCCCTGGGCTTTATGAATCATGCCTAGAGGAACAGAATAACACTGTGTATGTTGCTAGTGGCAGCTCCATAGAGAAAAATGTATTGAGATTGTCTTTGGAGCCCCATGGTTGTATGTTGGTGATTGGCTATGAACAGTTAATGGCTACTCTTCCCTGAGAAAAAGGAAAGAGAGAGTAACCTCTCTGCTGTCTCCCAGCTCTGACAAAGCTATCTGGGACAAGCCTGGGAAGATGAACTTTGAGGGTTGCTAGCAGAAAGAGCCAGCTTGGTGCAGTGGTTAAAAGCATCAGGCTAGAAACCAGGAGACCATGAGGTTTCCTTAGGCATGAAGCCAGCTGGGTGACCTTGGGCCCGTCACTCTCTGTGGAGTCCTTGGGGTTCTCTGAGCTTGGTTCTTTTCTTGCAAACGTTTCATTA